ACCTATTTTCTTGCTCTAATAAAAGTTATTCTCTATATAAAGTTATATATAGTGTTAAAGTTTTAATTAAACTGGCCTAAAACTCATTCAGCAATGGCCTTTTAGGCCAAATAGGCTTCTTTTGCCGTTTATGCCAAAACTAGCTTCTAAACCTCTATCCAAACTTAGAAAAATTTGTTCTATACACTCTTCTCTTCAAAACAAGCTATAATAGACCTCTGTAGCTCCAATATTGATTGAGTTATAAGTAAAACAATTTTTATTTTATTTACTTCTCTCTTTTTCTCCTTTACCTTGGGGAATTATTTCCCAAACACTTAGAGACATTTTCTGTGCAACCCATACTGCCCCCAATCGTGCTACCCACACCCTACACATCTCTAAAATTATTGATGTCTGTTAAATTACACTAAAATTACTTAATTATTAACTAATATCGCACAATTTTAATAATTGCCTTTTAGTAACTTCTTAAAGTCTTATTTATTGATAACTTACTCATACGATCAGCCAGTTCTTCATCAGAGTCGACTTTAATATTTATCTTTGATTGCACTGGCTTTGCCAAAAACATATCTGACACTTTTTTATAAAGATTATTAGTTAAAGATTCTATAATTTGGCTAGCTGAAGGAGTTGGGTTTATAAGATCACAATGAATAAATTTTTCAGAATTTACACCATACCCATCTGGTGGTCTTTCTGGTATATATTTATCTAGTACTCTAAGGTAGTTACTGAAATCAGATTGCTTTTACTAAGACTGTAAAGCTTGTGTTTTCTGGAGCTGTGAAGACTAAATAGAAGTAGTTGGTACTAAAGCTAATTGTGATTTTATTATACTATCTAGTTCAGCTTAAGATATACCACTACTATCGGAATGTGATTTATTTTGTATATTAACAGCTAAAGTTTGAGAGATTTGGTCAGGAATGAAGCCTTTATACAAATTTGGAGGACGTTCTAACTACATATTTTTAAGTTCTGTAAAAAATGCATTAATGCCAAGAGGATTAGCAATTTTCATCCAAGTATAAAGCTCTCCTGATAAATAGCCCTTAAGAAGTCCTAAGATATTGGCATCACCATCAGCAACCTCTAATAAAAGAGGATGAATTCTAGCCTCATATGATTCTGGATTATCAAATAGTAAGAATTTTTTTTGTGCTAATCTTTGAGTAGCAATTTGTTGTATACCAACTGTTTCTGTTTGTTATTTATGACCAACCAAACAATGAAATGGGCTGGGGTATCAATATTATTACCAGTGTGTTGAGCGGGTATATTTGTATATTTTTCAGCCATCTTACTTTTTAAAATATTTGCTCGAAGCGGATTATCAAAGGCAGCTGCAATAATCGATGATAAAGTTAATATTTGATTAATTCTTTGATACCATTCATCTGGTGGAATTTGTCCACTATAATTTGGAATCTCTACAATTAATAGTACAATACTGGTTAAGTCTCTTGCAACTGTAGCCATATTTGGTGGATTATTATATAACAATAAAATTTGAGCTTGTAAATTATTTATTAATTTTTCAAAATTTTGAGCACGATTTTTCCATTTACCCACTTGTTGTCAAGTTGAACATCAGCAAGTAATAGGTTATTTTTTAAAGTCTTGCATTTTCTTTTCCATTTGATATATCAATTTCTTGTAAGATTTAAGAGATATGCGGTTGTCGCTTCATCAGCTTCACAATTTTGTAATTGCTTTTGAGTTCGTCTATTCAAAAGACGCAATGTAAATT